TATATATGTACGTATGTATAATATGCACAGATACAAATGTAATATGTATACACTTGAAAAATATTTGACTTGCGTGGGTGGATCCTGTATTCGTTCAAAAGTTACCTAAGTGGTAAAGTTAAGGAAGAGATATGTATAGAAAAATAGTACTATCAGCAAGATTAGAAATAAACTTGTGAATCGCAGTCAGTGTTACATGAATAACAGACCTATATGTGCGTGGCCGATTTAAGTTAACCAAAAATGAAGACTTGTCAATTAACTTGGTTTATTTTTAATGTATATTTAGTATACACTTTTAATTTGGAGCCAAGAATACCTGTTATCAAAAGAGGACTGAATGGCTCTTATTTCGGTTATTCTGTAGCTGAACATCAAGAAATTCCAGAGGATGGTTCAGAAAACCTAAAAAGTTGGTAAGGATCATTCATCACTTCTGTATAGTATAACTGAAATCATTATAACAATTATAAGAACTTAACATGTTTATATCGTATAGTTAGTATGGAAATTATTCGTACAGTGATAAATTTCAAATAAAACTTTATATATCCACATCAGTAAAAGATTTTAACTGAAAAAAATTATTAGTAAATATACTTAGATGGTTGTTGAATAGATTTAGTGTAAACAAAATTTAATCTCCATGAAAATTTTCAAAAGTATCAATAAAAACAGACATGTGTTCAGAACCAAACGTGTAGGAAATATTTATATGGTCCCATGAAAAATGAAAATAAATTTGATATTTAATGTTTTAATAATTATATAAGTACACATATCAACAATTCCGTAACGTAAATTGTTTAAATTTTTTTTAAATATTTTATATAATAACAAATGTAATTTTGTTTAATTCATAGGATGTTAATCGGTGCTCCATTGGATCAAAACAGACAACCAAATACTAACAGATCTGGTGCATTGTGGCAATGTCCACTTACAACATATCAAAGGGATTGCACTCAAGTGATCACAGATGGAAGAATAAGTACGTACAAAATTTTAATATATTCATGAATTTAGGATTCTTTGTCATTTCAAGTCTTATATTCATGAACATATCGATGTCTATGTATATAGATACTAGATTTACTGTAATGTGTGCATAACATTATTAAGAGATAAATAAATTCGACTTAATCAAGAAATTCATTGTTGTAAGAATTTATTTATATATTTATGAACATTGATTCAACATGCATGTCATTTTTAATGTTATTATTCTATGGAATTGTTAAGTTATTGAGCTTTATTTGATGTTGTATACATAATAAGATTATTTTTTTGTTAAATTATGTGTTGGTTAACGAGCAGCAGAGGCAGTTCTGTATGATTCAAGTAAGTCGATGAGTGGAGTTATTTGAATGGGCAGTTTTACCATTTTTATACAAAATTTTATTGACTGTGCAAAATTTTTGGACATTTGTTATGAAAATTATTGCATTAGCATGACATTTTTTAATGTACGAATTGCTAAACTATATTAAATTAATTAAAAATGGTCTTATTCTAACAAATATCCTATTGACAAAAAATATTTCTAACTTCACTTTGTTGTGACATCTCTTTTTTTACTATGGAACGTTTTTGTGTTGACATTTGTATGTAAATTAAAATTTGAAATG